AGGTCTCGAGTTCGGAACTTGTTACGGACTTGTGGATTTTGCTCGTCCCTGAGTCTACCTGTGATAGGTATCTGACTGACGTTGGGGAGGGTCAAGAAATGAACGAACTCTACTTAACCTTCCCAACTGATCGCTAGGAATATTTATGGTGAAACATGTTACGCTTTACCTTGTTCCATACGCATCATTGGAAACTGTCGTTAATTTCTTTTCTGGAATGTAACTTTTACCACCCTCCCTTTCCAAATAAGAATTCACGCCCCCCCCCCCCCCCTTTGAAAGTTTTCTCAACCCTCACATTTTATCCTGGGACATCTGGATACAGATGATCTTGGGAATTGGGGAACCCTATTGGTCAAGACTCAAAACCATTTTTTTCACGAGAGCTGTACTCTACAGTGTTATTATTTTAAAACAGCAAGATTAGGGCTAAGAGCCGGGTTAGAATCAGAGATACGGTAAGATTTAGGATTAGATTAAAGGTCCCACCAACAAGTTTCTTTCAGGTATATCTTTGAAGGGGAACGGCAATCCCCCCCCCCCCCCCCATAAAAACGGAACGTCCACCCGTACCCACACCACCCCTCCCGAACAAAATATAATTTATATAGAAAATAAATTTATTACCACTGTCTGCCCTTAAACCCAACACCCCCCCCCCCCCCGGAGAAAAATCTCTGAAAAAAAACCCACTGTAACAGACATATCAATATGTAAGGTTTACCGCAAATAAAACGCTGTGTTGGGGGGGGGGGAATAAATGCTGTAGCTGTGTGGTCTTTGAGTGGCCAGTATTTGAACCAATACCCGATAGATGCTCTACCCCCCGACCACACCGTCCCACACGAAGACTCCACCGGCAACCAACTGTACTAGTAAATCTTCCACCCCTAGCGAGGTATGGCGTGGTCGGACGATAGAGCACACGACTGTCAACTACAAAGTCACGAGCCCGTCTGACGACCCTGAGTCCACTCAGCTCTGGTGGGTACCTGGCTCACGTTAGTGAACGTAAAGGCGGCTGATCACACCTTCCCTTCATATGCGGATGTCATAGACACAGGTGAACTCTACTTCAACTGCTCCATGAACGCCGCTTTCCACCTATCCCTCTTTTTATATTATCAATTTTAATTATTAACAAAACAAACAATGAAGACGTTTATAAATTCTATTTACTGCACAACGCAACACCAGTGTTTGTTAACTATTTATTTTTATTCAAACAAAATAGGCCGACAGGAGTACATTGTCATCTCCAAGTGACGTTTGTTATAAATGTTGAGCATCAGAAGGCATATAATAAGCCTGGCTATTTTATTGATGAATCTGTAAAAATAATTACTTCATTCACTAGCATACTTCACCGTTTTCACCCAAAAATATTATAAGAAAATATGCTCTTGTACAAGAAATAGACCTAATGAACTTAAAGTGTATACATATATATAGTATGTATATGCAAATGAATGTGTATAATTATTTGCATGTAATCCTATGTGTATATGGATCCTATATGTATATGTCGCCTATATGTATATGTAGTATATACAGATTTTCTTCCAGGCATCTCTTCGGGGGGGGGGGCGAAGCCCCCCCCGAAAATTTTTTACCGCCCCCCCCCCCCCCCCCGAATGAAATGAAATTTATATAATTTATATAGAAAATATATACTTTTAACAGTGGCCGCCCCCCCCCCCCGAAGAAAGACTACCCCCCCCCCCCCCCCCCCCCCCCCCCGAAGAAAGTCTACCGCCCCCCCCCGGAGAAAAAAGTCTGGAAGAAACACTGAGTATATATACATAAGCCGCCTATATGTAAACAACAACGAAAGTACACATTCGTGATTCATGCACATATTATTAGCCATATATCCGATAGTTATAACAATAGAGTCGTGCATTAATCGAAAGCACCGTCCGGATCAGTTTTAGAGCCAACCCGCCACACCGTCCGTGTCGTAGGTAGCGCATGTTGTCGTCAGGTGCAAGCGTCGACCGACAGATATCCCAACACACATCACACACACACACGCACAAACACAGAATTTATGCCGCCGCGCCGTGAACAAAGAATTGGAAAGGATGAAACGAACACCCCCACTTACTCGTCGCTTGGAACATTCCGAACACCGCGTACTGAGCCTAAGGCTGTGTATTGGACACACACGCACACGGCCTAATTTCAACCAGCGAGCTCGCCCTACTAAAATACAACAGATACAGCGAGGCGGCCGTGATAGCCAAAACTCTCGATCCGTGTGCCGAGTTGCGAACAACCGGCAAGGAACCCGGCGTTTGTAGCAGGCCAGAGGAAAAATCTCCCATGAAATGAAACGACACAAAGTTTCTTAATTTTGCTTCGTGATGTAACAGTCCATAAATCCTTTAACCTAGACTAATAACAAGTATTCGCATGTCGATATTCTACTCACATTTAAATGTGGCGTATATTTCCAATATCAAGACAAATCGTTAAACTGAAACGTTTTCATCTTAAATAAGAATCCACACCTTTCGCAGATATAAAATACTGACAAACAGCAAGCGACAGAAAATTAAATACCAATATTTTTCGATAACTCCCCTCTCCCATACTCTGATTATTATATTTATCATCGACATCCAATACATCTTTTTTTTAAATGTACTAGCTTCAGGTCACTTCTAGAAAATAGTCAAATTACAAAAAATCATTGACATGTCTTACTACTTATAAATAATCAAAACAGCACGCCACCGAACTAACTTTACATAAATTGTTTTTATTGCTTCCGATTCACACCGTTTACTGACCCTTTCGCTTTCGACCTTTAATCCAACTTAAACACTTCCCAATTTAATAAGCCAACCTTCTTAATCAAAACACAACCAACTCTAGTTTAATAAAAAAAAACGCATTTAAAAATACACATAAACCACACTTGAATCATAACGGCGCATCTATCCAGTATTCTTGATAGACGGACTGGCGGCATTGTTTGCTATGCTGCGTGACGTCACGACTTGTGCCACATGCGCTCAACCCGAAACACTTGGGTCTGATTCCCAGCCCAACCGAATCTTCTTTCTTCTCACCTAGGAAAACCGTTAAAACGGATGGATCTTTCAAATCGGCACAGGTTCGTGGTCAAGTTTGTGTTAATTAGTGATAAACATGTGCGCGATTGTAACCTAGTTTCGAAGGTGGGGGGTGGGGGGTATTGACACGGCTATTGATATCGGTGTTTTCATGCGTTTTTCAATCGGATAAAACAGCGCGTCTATTCGTCGTTTACACTGCCTACACCGCCACGCTACCCACTAGCCGTGTCAGCCCTCGTTTGCGACCGGTTTTCACATAATTGGAGGATTCTTTCTGTGATGAATGTGTTAGAAGTAGTTGCGTTATAACACAACGTGTGTTTTGATGTGTGTTTTGTCATAATTTGACCCGGAATCAATGTGGTTAGTGTAGAAAATGTTGTCTAGTGCCCTCGCTAAGACTCGGCACGGCTGCCTTCAACGAGTCAGGCAGTATTGACCATTAGTTTCTTCCTTAGCCATTTTTATCTGTGGATACATCTATTTTCGCCGAGACTTGTTCGAGGTGCGTCGTGTGCTTTTATTCACGTTCTCTCGTCGCTGTTTTCATCGTTTGTTTTAACCTAGATTGTCACGTGGTGTTGTTTTGGTTTTGTTATAGAGAAAACGTGGTTTTTGAGTCTAGTTTTTGGATTTGAATTTTTTCCTAATTGTTGCATAAGCTACCCATCTTTTGTGACTGGTACCATGATGTAGCCAGCTTCAGATAGTCGACAGGCGTTCTGTGTTAGAACCGGCTGTTTTTTTATTTATAGCTTTAGGTTAAATGTTGAAGACTAGTGGAAAACAGCAGGCGTAGGTTCTTGGTGTGTAGTTTAGATGTGTTGTTTTCATAGTTCGCTCTAGCGGTTTGGTGATTGTTTTTTTTTCTTTCTCTCTTTAAATTAATAGCTGACTCGTAGAATTTACACAGAAATACTAACTGAAATTGGGAAATTAGCCTAATTTATAGTAATTAGCATGAGGTTATTGTGATTGTTTTAATAATAATTAATATTGTTAGGGATTAGTTCATTTTTGCTGTGACTGAACCAATCGGGATTTTGTTTTATTCTGAATGAACATTGGGATATTTTCTTCTTGTGACTGGTGAGTATATACATTAGAAGATTTGTGTGTATTGTTATTTGTTTATTGTATCAATTTTGTGTTGACATTTTAGATTAGTTTTGGTAAGGCTTAGGGTAAAGGAGGGCGTTAAGAGCCACACTTTTTAGCAACTGTACATTTTTAAAGATTTCTACTAATCTAAGAATTTTTTAGTATTGAAAATATGGCAAAATTATTCTAACATATCTTACACAATATAAAAATAATAACAAAGTGTATTAAATATACTTTAAATGGGTTTAATTGAACATTTATTGTCATACCCCCGAAATCAGCATTTGGGGTGATAGGAGCCGGGCAATGGGGCAATAAGTATTATCTCCTAGTTTAGACTAACTCCGCAATAGAAATAATTAATTTCTAACCCCAAAATAGTTAAAGCTGTGTACACACACTTTAACTGATACTAGCTATCACTAGGCCCCAATGGGCCCAGTCTACAATTGATACAATTGCAGGTGTACATAGGGCCTAAAGTCTAGTAGTTTACAGATAGCACATTAGTATGCCTAGTGTGTAGCTAGTATACTACTAGTGTGTAGCTGTCCAGAGTTAACATTCTTGTATGTAAAAGGGGTGGTACTAACTAATCTGCCTTAATGCTATACATTACATAACATGACATAGAGGTGAGAAATGTTGAGGGGAGAGCAGTGGTACTGGTTTCCCCTTTGTTCTCCTTGCTGGACCCTGAGGGCCATAAATTACATAAGGAGATGCTATTTCTGGTTGGCTGAGATCTAAGAACTAAGTCCATGTTACCTACAAAGAGATAAGTTTTATGGTGGGTTAGATACAGGTGGGGGCTGGGTATCATGGGGGTGAGAAATTGTGAGGGGAGAGCAGTGGTACTGGTTTCCCCTTTTTTCTCCTTGCTGGACCCTGAGGGCCATAAATTACATAAGGAGATGCTATCTCTGGTTGGCTGAGATCTAAGAACTTAGTCCATGTTAACTACAAAGAGATGAAGTTTTATGGTGGGTTAGATACAGGTGGGGTCTGGCTATCATGGAGGTGAGAAATTGTGAGGGGAGAGCAGTGGTACTGATTCCTCTTTGGTCTCCACCCTGCTAGACCATGAAGGTCATATATTACATAACATGCCACCCCAGATTGTCTGAGATCTGTAACTGTAATCCATGTTACCTACAAAGAGATGAAGTTTTATGGTGGGCCAGAAACTGGTGGGGGCTGGGTATCATGGGGGTAAGAAATTGTAAGGGGGGAGCAGTGGTATTAATGTGTCTGTTTACTTCCCTGCTGGACCATGAGGGTCATAAACTACATTACATACCACCCCAGATTGGCTGAGACCTAAGAACATTTATTCCTGTTACCTATATAGAGATTAGAAGTTTTATGGTTGGTTAGAAACAGGTGGGGGCTGAGTCGGCTGTATTGCCCCTTAGGGGTAATAGGTACGTGTACCATTTTAAAAATTACCTTGCTAACATCAGATGGCTTAATATTTACTTTTTAGCAGGTTAGAATTGTATTTCTATCATTTAGACACAAGTCTGTTTAACAATTAATACATTTTGTGTTAACTATTCCTATACCAGTGTCATATTCAGTGGTCTAATAAATGAGAAACTTGCACTTAGGGTTTCAAGAGCCACATAACAGTATCTGTTATAACTTTTCTAAACAGGCAAGCTAGTGGACAAAATTAATGTATTCATGTAGATTTAGTTATTATCTAAAAAATAAAACCATTATGGCAATGATCAGTCAAGTTTTACTCTGATAATGATAAAAACTTTATAGCATGGTAAAATGGGACAAATGTCGGCCATTTTGTTTTGCACCAATAATCACTGTGCAAAACAAATTCACCAAAATAAAACTATTCTAGCCATAGCTATAAAAATAGTGTTAAAATGTACAACAACCAATGCTCTAATACAGGAACAAAGAATGGGCTTGAAAAACTCATTTGGTTTATTACAAAGTGAAGTTTCCCAAGTTATGTCGATTTGGAAAAAAAGTTCACAAAATGGTTTTATTGAGATGAGAAATTTTAGGGAAAGAGCAGTGGGATTAAATCCTGTCTCATTCTCTCCCTATTGGACCAAGTGGGTCATAAATTACATAAAATGAATCTTCTGCTTCTCTGTTATCAAAGAACAGCAGTGGTTGTTACCTCAGAAGTAGATTAGCAGTGTTATTTGGGGTTTTGTGGGGGTGGGGTGTTGATTGGGGCTTAATACCACACAGCTCTTAACGCCCTCCTTTACCCTAGGCTTAGTGCCATTGTACTGTTGTAGGTACTGTTGTAGGTATTTTGTTTAGTCACTGTTTAGTTCACTGTTGTTCAGTGATTGAAGTTAATTAGTGACTTTTTATGGGACAGTATTAATTAAGTCGAGTTTGAGTTAGTTGATGATGTGTTGAGTTAGTTGATGATGTGTTGTATGTACAAGCCAAGGGCACACAACATAATGTTTGCATTGATTAGAATAATCAGGTCTGTTTTTTAAAAAAAGGCCATATAGTGGTCTATAGGTCTACAGACCTATTGATACTGATTTGGACTTAGATCTAGAAGATCTAGGGTAACATATGAGCCATAAACATGTGGTTAAGTGAGGTTAGGGTTAGCCTCATATATATGTGATATGGTTAAACCAAGAACACACATCATAATGAGTTAAGATTTAAATATAAGCCTAGCCTATTTACTTTAATGCTGTTTAGAAAAATTAAAGGTAACTAGTCTAACCACCCAAGGTCTAGATATACATGAAATAGGGTTAAGTAGTAATAAATAAGCTTAGGTTTAGCTTTAATCCACTAATCCTATGTTGATTGGCTAAACAGATAGCAACTTGTATGGTTGTTTCACTTAATACTTGTTATACAAATGAAAACTTATTTAATATTTAGGCATCTTACTCATTGATATTCCCTATTGCTTTGAATTAGTACACAGTTACATATACAAGAGTTTGTAGGCCTAAATAATGTGTTATTTTGTTTATCTCTGACACACCTATGTGTGTTGGGTAGGTCTATTATACACATGCTCAATTATGATTTTATTTAACTAATTGATCTATCCTTAGATTTAAAAAAAAAAAAAAAAAAAAACATAAATTCCCCCCCCCCCCCCCACAATCAGGCACCCTGTCACGTGACCGGTCACAAACCAACACACACACCCTGCGTGAGTCAGCACACCGGTGTCGCCGAGCCTGTCCTAGTGCTCACACTTTGTCGCACACCGGCCCGTACTCAAGGTTCGTATCGATTCGCCGTACCCACATATTCGTTGGGGGCTCGCGGAATCCTAATCGTCTCTCAGAGATAAAGAAATATGTACAAAGAGAGTCTCCGTGGGTACGGGCAATCGACCGGTTACTCAGACGTTACTGACATAGCAGCTTGATAACTGTGATATTAGGCTTAACCGTTTCCTTAGAAGAATCGCTAGCCCATAGGCTTAACCGTTTCCTTGAGTTCATGAACCCCTGGCCCGTAGAACAAACCGAAACCGTAAAACTGATGAACTCCTAGCCTCAAGTCATAAATCATATTCGTAAATAATAAAGCCCCTGCATGTAGGCCTCACCCTTTCCTTAAAATGTACAGCGTCCTTTAAGAAACTAAAGGCGGCTTGGCGTAGTGCTGAACACACAACCCCTTCAAATGCCGAGGTCACAGAAACAGGTAAACTCTACTTCACTTACCCCAAAGGGCCATCAGGCTAGAAAGGGAGCTATAAATTTAATCTGGTTCTTCTCATAATCCTATATCTATATCGATGATTCTTTTGTTTAGTATCTAGTAGTAGCCACCATGTCGTCCCACTTGGACAAGTGACAAGGCCGACGACAATAGACTCCTAGACAACTTGAGCTAGTTCCTGTAACTTTATGTAACTGTACCCAGTTCCTATAACTTTATGTAACTGTACCCAGTTCCTGTAACTTTATGTAACTGTCGATAGTTTCCCTTAGTTTCAGTAACTGTCCCCAGTTGTAGCCCATCCTATTCGTGTCTCCAGAATTTCTTTTAAGTTCCCTCTATCCTAACTTCAGGCAGCACGAACACAGGCACATAGATACCTCGCCGTATCTTTAATGTTGCCTAGATGTCAAACAAGATACTTTGACTGGCACATGAACCTACACATAACCATCATCGTCATCAAACCCCCCCCCCCCCCTCCCTTACGTATCCGAGAAACATGGTGTAAATGAAGTAGAGTGAATCTATTTCAATGACTTCGGCACAGAGAGGGATAATCTGGTCAGCGCTATGCCTAACACTAAACACCCTTTAGCAAATGCTTAGCCATACATTGGCCTATTAGCCTAACACCACAGTCCCATCAGCCTGCCTCCCTTACTATTCACAGTCCACACCGACCTACGGAAGCCTAGAGCTGTGTACACCTTTTATCTAACATTTGAGCCCATATACGCCCTACACGAATGAATGTCCCCCTTGTCAGTTACTAATTAATCCATCGCCGGGGCTACACGATCTGTCTAACAAAAACAACAGCACGGCTTAGCTTTCCCCCACTAACCTCACTAAAAATAAAACAAGTAACCCCTAAACCTAAGCTTAATCCAACTGCACATAAACAACTAGGCCTACAACACTATAAAAAGGTGGATCTCTAAAACTCAGTATACGCATTCTTGACGAGCCTTAAAGCGAGGTTTATATCTTTTACAAGTTTTGACAACCACCCAGGTAACCCCACACCGTGGTAGGCATGTTTATTGTCTAACTTAACGATTACATTGGTTTGGTTCCCTAACGATTACATTGGTTTGGTTCCCTATTTTAACGATTACATTGTATTGGTTCCCTAACTTAACGATTACATTGGTTTGGTTCCCTATTTTAACGATTACATTGCTTTGGTTCCCCAACTTAACGATTACATTGGTTTGGTTCCCTAACTTAACGATTACATTGGTTTGGTTCCCTAACTTAACGATTACATTGGTTTGGTTCCCTAACTT